AACTCACTATAAATAAAGGTCTCAGGTATGAACTCTGGACTAACTTGAATAACGATGCATACACGCATCACAATCGCTCTGTCATATTACTGACTTGAGCGTCGGAGTGCCTTTAGCAGGTACCCGGCCCCTCCCCAACTGGAAGGTTGGAGCAGCGCCGAGGAGAGGGAGGACGCCCGCCCAGCTTGGAGCTGAGAGCAAGGATCATCCGCCAGGAGTGGAGGACGCCCGCCCAGCTTGGAGCTGAGAGCAAGGATCATCCGCCAGGAGTGGAGGACGCCCGTCCAGCTTGGTGCAGAGAGCAAGCGTCCGGATTGGAGGACGTCCGCCCGGTTTGAAGCACAAAGTAATCGTCCATATTGATGCCGCCCGCCAGTGAAGCTTGCTTCGGTTCGTGGGATCCAGCTGAAAGTGTCCGCCCGTTTCCGACGTTCGTGAAAGACCGTCCGCCCGGCGTTCGAGACCATTCATCCGTTCGGCCTCAGTATTCGTCGTCTGCCTTCAACAGTAAGCTCGTGTGTTTTTGCAGGGTCCGCCCGGACCAGCCGAAACATGTAATTGAGATAGATCTCAGATTCCACATCATTCTATTTTTTTTTTCATACGCAAGAATATATAGACAAAATTTATATATGAAAGAATAAAAATTTAACAGCAGTGATTGGAAGGTTGCTACAGTAATTAACAGCATTTCTCCTACATCTGGCGCAGTTTAATGTAGTTCTCAAGCAAATTACAGTACTGGTGTCGTTGATTTTTAATTCGATACATAACAACTGTTAATAAGTCTGACATAATATTATAGATTCAAAAATAAGAATTCCAAATTTAAATAAATGAAACACAGCCATTTTTACAGTAATCAAAATCTGTCCAAGTTATACTAGAGTAAAAGTATATTTAGATTTTTTTTTTATATTTACCTATTTCTTATTGGCATCCGTTATGTCACTGCTTGTCATGTTGCTAATACTTATTCTTGTAAGTATAATTATTTTTATAGTAAAATGACAATAATTACTTTGTTAACAAATTACTATAATTTGTTACAGTCACATCGATTGCAGAAAAATAATCTGAAACTACGAGGTGCGTCATTTTCTTTTCACGTTCGAGTTTCTTACATGAGAAACTCTTGGAGGAGACTATACCAAAATATATAGAAAATTTAAATGGAAATTTTGAAAGTGAAAAAAATCAGGGCATTTATTTATTATATGATATAATAACTGGGCAAAGACCACGTGGATCATCAGATCAGAACAGTGCATAAAAACATTGAATATTTAAAATACAAAATAAAAAAGAAAGCGAAACCAAATAAACACAACTTTCGTAAAACACGTTCCTCTCTTCACTGTATAAACCCTATGGTGCTTCTTCCTTCCATCAATCCATCCCCTTTATTTGCACACGTTCTTCTTCAGATCCTGAAAAGCCACACGTATGCACGTATATCATTATTTTATCATAAAATTCGTGGAGAAAGTTTTCACGTTAGGTATATCTAATGCATCCTAAAACGATAACAAGTTTTTTTCCTACACCTATTGAAGAGGGACAAAAAAATGAACGAAACAAAACATATAACCTCTACAAAAGGAGGGAAAGATTAAAAAAACAAAAGTATATGGTAGATGTGAAATGTAGAACATAAAAAGTTAACATTGTTGTAAGATATTCATAGAAGTCCAAAATTTAAGGTTTTTTTGTTTTTTAAATTTATTATTATGTTCAAGGAAGGGTCCAAATGCAGCAGTGAGATGATATCTATAGATAATTAAATATTTCATACTTTCATGATAATAGAAAATATAGTTGTTATTGCTATGCACTACAAAATTGTAGAAGTTTTATTATAGTTGTGATTTAAAAAGCTTGATAGAAAGAACATGGAAAGCATAGAGGTTTTGTATACGAAGCTTAGCTTACCATGGGGTGGTATAGTAAATCGTGTCTAGTAGTGGTGAGGGGGAGGTGGTGATGAATAGACGTATGGTGGTGGAGGAGACTTGTAATAGTAAGCTGGGGGTGGAGGAGAAGGGTACTTGTATGGTGGTGGTGGAGGAGATGGGTACTTGTAAGGAGGAGGAGGAGAATTGTACTTGTAAACTGGTGGTGGTGGAGAGGGGTACTTGTATGGAGGAGGTGGAGGAGAAGGGTATTTGTAGGGTGGTGGAGGTGACTTGTATTTGTAGACTGGGGGTGGAGGAGATGGGTACTTGTATGGTGGTGGTGGCGGAGAAGGATACTTGTAGGGTGGTGGTGGAGACTTATACTTGTAAACCGGTGGTGGTGGAGACTTGTACTTATAAACCGGTGGTGGTGGAGACTTATATTTGTAAACCGGTGGGGGTGGAGACTTGTACTTATAAACCGGTGGTGGTGGAGACTTGTACTTGTAAACCGGCGGTGGTGGAGATTTGTACTTATAAACCGGCGGTGGTGGTGACTTGTACTTGTAAACTGGCGGTGGTAAAGGATAGTGATAAGGATGTTTGGGTGGTGAGTATTGGTATGGTGGTGGCGAGTGGTGGTAGTAAGGGGTAGGTGGAGGAGATGAATAGGGGTAGTTATCATCTGCAGAGGTTTGAGATGGCAAGCTTAGAGACAGTATTGCCAACACAAGAGTAAGAGTAACAGAGGCCATTAGAGACCCCATTTTCTCAAAACTTCAAAAATGGTTTTGTTGTGCTGTTAGCAATGTATGGAACCCCTATATATAGTTTTTTTTTCACCATGCTTACACCGACTCGTTAATCATCTTGGAAGCATTGCCTTTGACTTGATCTATTCAACTTAACCCCATTGAAAATTTTGGAATCTTCATATGTTTATATAAGGCAGTAAAGTACGAAACCTTAAATTAATGTTAAATATCTCTCATAGATTCACTGTTGCAGCGAATACCTTATATTAGAATTATTTTATGTGTTAGGTACGGTTAAACAATCCTAATCCATCTAGTTATATTATAGTTATATAACGAAACAAACATTGCAGACTATGATTTGAAATCCTCGTTTGGGGTTATAATCTCATTATCGCTTATACGGTGAAGGTTAATGTTTTGATTCCGAATGACATAGTTAGGATAATTATCATATATGTTTGCTTTAGGGATTTTATTTAATTTGCATAATTTAAAATTAACATTTGAAAAATCATGAGAAAGGTTTTTAGGAATCAGTTTTCGTGTAAGTAAATTTTAAATCATAAAAGAAAGTCTTTTTCAATATTTTTTTTCCATATAAGTTTGTGTGAAAAAACTCATTCCAAACAAACCAAGTCTACATGATTAATTAATGAGAGAGATGTGATCGTGTTTCAATAGGACGTACAAGAAAGTGGTTAGAGTGCATTTTGTCCTTGTGTACGATGCAAAAGGCAAAGAAATACATGATAAAATAAAGTTAAAAGATTGAGTAAAGAAAAAATATAGATTAGTTATATTTCGTGTATGGACCAATGTAGATTTTGATCGAAGACTGCAATCTAATTGAGAAGGAGAATAGCATCTTTTTCTCTGTAGAAAAAGACAAGTTTAACTATTTTTAGCTTTGTAGTCTCACAATTTTTTTCTTTAAGAATATTCAAAAGCAAAGGAAGTCTTCGAGGATACTANATAATATTAAAAATATATTTTATTTAATGTCAATTTAACTTATTAATTTAAACACAAATTAAAATAAAAGTGTATTAAAATCAATGGCATTAAATTATTATAACTAAAAATTAATTTAAAAGTTAATTATAAATGAACATCAATTTAATCAAAAACTAATTTGGGTCGGTTTTTAAAAGTTCACATTAATAATTTTTTTTTAATTTTAAAATCGTCTACAGATGTGCAATATGAAAAGTTTATATTAAATATCTATTTTTTATGGTGAAAAAAAAATCTTGAAATAAAAAATGGTTTATAAGCATTTTAAAATGGTGTACATCTATATTGCACTAGTGACATTTTTCGAAGTACTTAAATTTAAGTGGTTTTCCTTCCTTATTTAGGAACACATCACCTGCACCTCTCATTCCAATTTTTGAACAATTTTCTCCAACGGTTTCCTCCCAAATTTATTAACAGAATTTGTATAATAACATGTCACGATTTCGATATCATGAATCAAGTCAAAGTGGTTGTGACTGAACAAAGAACAATACAAGAGTTTTCAAAAAACATATGTTGTCTATTGGACTTCCATCAAAGTTGTTTATAAACGATCACAAGAAAGCGATAACCTATCATATCAATTTATCAGCAGGGATATAATCTGTTACAATGAATTTTATGTCCGAAATTGTGAGAAATATCTTGTAATTATCATCTTTATAAGATAAATTATATATTCATTTATATATTATAAATTCCTTTTATTTGATATAAATCTTCAATACATTCTCAAGACTAAATATTAGTAATTGGTTCAGTAATCATAATGATACGAGAGATTTAATAAATAACAGATTTGGGTACAATAAATTATAATATTATCTTAAGATATAAATTTTAACCTAATTAATCTTTAACTATTGATTTACATCATCTATATATTATAAATTTGTTTTATATGTGTACTGATAAGTCCTCCCAGCATAGACCGAGCGAGCGGTTAACAAGGCCGCCTCCCAAAATGGCAATCAGGACCAAGGCCGCTCAAGCGCCACAAGGCCGAGCGTTCACCCCTGTTGAGTACCAAAGTCGAGCGCCCACCCTGGACGACTCGCATAACACAAGAACCGGACGTCCGCATGAGCGTCCGATCACTCAAAGGGACGTCCAAGATGGAACGTCCGTCCAGAGTGAAATGACCGCCCAAAAATGGAAAACAGAACGGGCGTCCAGCCATTTGGACGTCCGCCCTAAGATGGCAATCAAGACCGAACGCCAAATAAACATTGGTCCGAGTTTGCATGGATCCAGCGGTTTTCCAAAAAGACGCCCATCCAGGCACGGACAACCCCTTCGCACAATAAAATTATGCTCGGGCTTCGGGGGCTTATGTACTGATAGGTCCTCCCAGCTTAGGACACGCCCGTCCGGTAATCCGGACGTCCGCCAAATAGTCTAGGATCGACCGTCCTTAGAAACCGGACGACCGTCCAAGAACGTCCGCCCAGGAATCAGGACCGAACGAGCGGCCAACCATCCGAGAAGTGGAGCGTCCGCCAATGCGGAGCGTCCGCCAGTGCGGAACGTCTGCCCAATGAGGAGCACGTCCGCCCAATGAGGAGCGTCCGCCCAATGTGGGGCGTCCGCCCAGAGGAGGACGTCCGCCCAAGAGCTGGACGCCCACCTAGGGTAACATCCCTGACCGACTATCATTCCCAACCGGCGCACTTTGCTGACTACACGGTTAAATGCTAGTGACACATTAAAGTCCTTAACGAAGATTAAGGTATTATTGGGCCGTCCCCAGGCCCACAAAAGGTAAAAGCCCATTACAACTCACTATAAATAAAGGTCTCAGGTATGAACTCTGGACTAACTTGAATAACGATGCATACACGCATCACAATCGCTCTGTCATATTACTGACTTGAGCGTCGGAGTGCCTTTAGCAGGTACCCGGCCCCTCCCCAACTGGAAGGTTGGAGCAGCGCCGAGGAGAGGGAGGACGCCCGCCCAGCTTGGAGCTGAGAGCAAGGATCATCCGCCAGGAGTGGAGGACGCCCGCCCAGCTTGGAGCTGAGAGCAAGGATCATCCGCCAGGAGTGGAGGACGCCCGTCCAGCTTGGTGCAGAGAGCAAGCGTCCGGATTGGAGGACGTCCGCCCGGTTTGAAGCACAAAGTAATCGTCCATATTGATGCCGCCCGCCAGTGAAGCTTGCTTCGGTTCGTGGGATCCAGCTGAAAGTGTCCGCCCGTTTCCGACGTTCGTGAAAGACCGTCCGCCCGGCGTTCGAGACCATTCATCCGTTCGGCCTCAGTATTCGTCGTCTGCCTTCAACAGTAAGCTCGTGTGTTTTTGCAGGGTCCGCCCGGACCAGCCGAAACATGTAATTGAGATAGATCTCAGATTCCACATCATTCTATTTTTTTTTTCATACGCAAGAATATATAGACAAAATTTATATATGAAAGAATAAAAATTTAACAGCAGTGATTGGAAGGTTGCTACAGTAATTAACAGCATTTCTCCTACATCTGGCGCAGTTTAATGTAGTTCTCAAGCAAATTACAGTACTGGTGTCGTTGATTTTTAATTCGATACATAACAACTGTTAATAAGTCTGACATAATATTATAGATTCAAAAATAAGAATTCCAAATTTAAATAAATGAAACACAGCCATTTTTACAGTAATCAAAATCTGTCCAAGTTATACTAGAGTAAAAGTATATTTAGATTTTTTTTTTATATTTACCTATTTCTTATTGGCATCCGTTATGTCACTGCTTGTCATGTTGCTAATACTTATTCTTGTAAGTATAATTATTTTTATAGTAAAATGACAATAATTACTTTGTTAACAAATTACTATAATTTGTTACAGTCACATCGATTGCAGAAAAATAATCTGAAACTACGAGGTGCGTCATTTTCTTTTCACGTTCGAGTTTCTTACATGAGAAACTCTTGGAGGAGACTATACCAAAATATATAGAAAATTTAAATGGAAATTTTGAAAGTGAAAAAAATCAGGGCATTTATTTATTATATGATATAATAACTGGGCAAAGACCACGTGGATCATCAGATCAGAACAGTGCATAAAAACATTGAATATTTAAAATACAAAATAAAAAAGAAAGCGAAACCAAATAAACACAACTTTCGTAAAACACGTTCCTCTCTTCACTGTATAAACCCTATGGTGCTTCTTCCTTCCATCAATCCATCCCCTTTATTTGCACACGTTCTTCTTCAGATCCTGAAAAGCCACACGTATGCACGTATATCATTATTTTATCATAAAATTCGTGGAGAAAGTTTTCACGTTAGGTATATCTAATGCATCCTAAAACGATAACAAGTTTTTTTCCTACACCTATTGAAGAGGGACAAAAAAATGAACGAAACAAAACATATAACCTCTACAAAAGGAGGGAAAGATTAAAAAAACAAAAGTATATGGTAGATGTGAAATGTAGAACATAAAAAGTTAACATTGTTGTAAGATATTCATAGAAGTCCAAAATTTAAGGTTTTTTTGTTTTTTAAATTTATTATTATGTTCAAGGAAGGGTCCAAATGCAGCAGTGAGATGATATCTATAGATAATTAAATATTTCATACTTTCATGATAATAGAAAATATAGTTGTTATTGCTATGCACTACAAAATTGTAGAAGTTTTATTATAGTTGTGATTTAAAAAGCTTGATAGAAAGAACATGGAAAGCATAGAGGTTTTGTATACGAAGCTTAGCTTACCATGGGGTGGTATAGTAAATCGTGTCTAGTAGTGGTGAGGGGGAGGTGGTGATGAATAGACGTATGGTGGTGGAGGAGACTTGTAATAGTAAGCTGGGGGTGGAGGAGAAGGGTACTTGTATGGTGGTGGTGGAGGAGATGGGTACTTGTAAGGAGGAGGAGGAGAATTGTACTTGTAAACTGGTGGTGGTGGAGAGGGGTACTTGTATGGAGGAGGTGGAGGAGAAGGGTATTTGTAGGGTGGTGGAGGTGACTTGTATTTGTAGACTGGGGGTGGAGGAGATGGGTACTTGTATGGTGGTGGTGGCGGAGAAGGATACTTGTAGGGTGGTGGTGGAGACTTATACTTGTAAACCGGTGGTGGTGGAGACTTGTACTTATAAACCGGTGGTGGTGGAGACTTATATTTGTAAACCGGTGGGGGTGGAGACTTGTACTTATAAACCGGTGGTGGTGGAGACTTGTACTTGTAAACCGGCGGTGGTGGAGATTTGTACTTATAAACCGGCGGTGGTGGTGACTTGTACTTGTAAACTGGCGGTGGTAAAGGATAGTGATAAGGATGTTTGGGTGGTGAGTATTGGTATGGTGGTGGCGAGTGGTGGTAGTAAGGGGTAGGTGGAGGAGATGAATAGGGGTAGTTATCATCTGCAGAGGTTTGAGATGGCAAGCTTAGAGACAGTATTGCCAACACAAGAGTAAGAGTAACAGAGGCCATTGGAGACCCCATTTTCTCAAAACTTCAAAAATGGTTTTGTTGTGCTGTTAGCAATGTATGGAACCCCTATATATAGTTTTTTTTTCACCATGCTTACACCGACTCGTTAATCATCTTGGAAGCATTGCCTTTGACTTGATCTATTCAACTTAACCCCATTGAAAATTTTGGAATCTTCATATGTTTATATAAGGCAGTAAAGTACGAAACCTTAAATTAATGTTAAATATCTCTCATAGATTCACTGTTGCAGCGAATACCTTATATTAGAATTATTTTATGTGTTAGGTACGGTTAAACAATCCTAATCCATCTAGTTATATTATAGTTATATAACGAAACAAACATTGCAGACTATGATTTGAAATCCTCGTTTGGGGTTATAATCTCATTATCGCTTATACGGTGAAGGTTAATGTTTTGATTCCGAATGACATAGTTAGGATAATTATCATATATGTTTGCTTTAGGGATTTTATTTAATTTGCATAATTTAAAATTAACATTTGAAAAATCATGAGAAAGGTTTTTAGGAATCAGTTTTCGTGTAAGTAAATTTTAAATCATAAAAGAAAGTCTTTTTCAATATTTTTTTTCCATATAAGTTTGTGTGAAAAAACTCATTCCAAACAAACCAAGTCTACATGATTAATTAATGAGAGAGATGTGATCGTGTTTCAATAGGACGTACAAGAAAGTGGTTAGAGTGCATTTTGTCCTTGTGTACGATGCAAAAGGCAAAGAAATACATGATAAAATAAAGTTAAAAGATTGAGTAAAGAAAAAATATAGATTAGTTATATTTCGTGTATGGACCAATGTAGATTTTGATCGAAGACTGCAATCTAATTGAGAAGGAGAATAGCATCTTTTTCTCTGTAGAAAAAGACAAGTTTAACTATTTTTAGCTTTGTAGTCTCACAATTTTTTTCTTTAAGAATATTCAAAAGCAAAGGAAGTCTTCGAGGATACTATTTTTCAATTTCTGTCCCTTTTCTCGTTTATTTGTTTTCAATTCATACCAACCTTTGAATAACCAAGCATATTGTTGCCTAACTATGACATTTTTCACTTTATTAGCAAATCAAATTTTATTAAATACTTTTTATCACAAGCAATACTCCTGATCAATGAGGAGCACATTATTATGGTTGTTAATTATGGTCATATGAACAAACTACCCTAGCTATTAAATATAATATATATATATATATATATATATATATATATATATATATTATAATATAGTTTGAAGAGTAATAGAATTGTGGTCTAGAAGAAATGTGATTTGTTTCACTTTAGTTTATGAAAGTTTTAAAATACCGAAGACGGTAGGACATTGAAAAAATTAGTTATAATAAGCTAGTCCAACCTTGAGTTAGTTAATAATTTGTCAAATGCAACGCGTTAGTCATCAGGGATGCATAATTATATTGCTTCTAGCACAATGCATGGCCATCTATATATGTTATAAGGTCCATGCTTAATAAATTAATTTTGGAAATTAAGTATGTTATATGTATGAGTGAAACTAGATTGGGTTAAATATTATCTGCATCATACTTATTTTTGTTTAATTCTAATATTTTACTATTATAAATTATTTTTAAATTATGATAATCCACTTATATTTTTAATAAATAATAAAAATAACTTTAATTAAAAATGTCAAAATGATTTCTCTTAGAGTTTGAATCGGATTAACTTAGAAAAAATTAACTTAGAAAAAATAATAATAAATTAACTCATAACTATGAGTTTGAATCGGGTTAACTTAGAAAAAATTCAATTATTTTAAGTACGGATTAAACCAACTCACAGTTAAACAAGTTGAAACGGTTTGAAGGTGAACTCACTTCAACAAAAACTCTATTAGTTTTTTATTATTTTTTCATAGATTTTACATTATAATTATTTATTATTTTTAATTATATAAGTTGATAATTTGATCTTTCACTAGTAAAAAAAGTAGATTTAAACTCGCACATTACGCCTCGGTTTTGTCAAAACCGAAGCGTATCAAAACGCAGTGGCATTTTTGTAATTCAGAACATATTATATGCCTCGGTTCTAAATCAACTGAAGCCTAATAACTATACTGCCTCGGTTCGTAGACGCAACCGAAGCATATACGTTTTAAAATATTACAAAACTCTGACGCTTCAGCTGAAAACTTTTTTAAGACAAAGATACTGCCTCGGTTAACACTTAGAACCGAGGCAGTATACCCTGCTCTTCCTGCCACGTCGCCCTACTACCACTGAAAACTTTTTCGAAACAGGGATATGGCCTCGGTTAATACCCAGAACCGAGGCAGTATAGCCTGGTCCCTCTGAACATTCTGCATTGCTCCTTCTGAACATTCTGAACTGCCCCCTCAAAAGTACATTGGGATACTGCCTCGGTTGCTTTAAACCGAAGCCGTATAGGCTTTTCCGCTTCGGGTTGGCGGAAAACCGAGGCATATAGCCAAATTTAATTTGAAAAATTGAATTTACTGAAATGTTTATGCCTCGGTCTGGAATATAGCCGAGGTAGTAGCTGCTTTCTGACTAGGTTATTTGGTTAACCGAGGTAAATTCCTGTTTATATTTCCACAACTGCAACGCTTCTTCTCCTTCACGCGACATTTCTCTTCTCCACTGTTCCTCCACCACTACGCTTTTCCTCGCCGCCACTCCCCCTCCGCGGTCGTGCTTCCATCGCCGGTGTTGTTCCGTTTCTTCTCCTTCTCCATCCTCAACCGTCCACGACTCTTTGTCTCCTCTCGTTGTGCGCTGCCTCCGACGACGCTGCTGCCTCCGCCGGACTCCGACGACGCTGCTGCGTCCGCCGGTCACACTCCATCACTGTAGTCGCCACCGTGCCTTAATCGTCCACTTCCATTT